AGAGAGAGAGAGAGAGAGAGAGAGGATGGTGGTGTCCAAAAAAATCGGCCACTGCGTCCAAAAAAGCCACAGAAGGCCCCCAGATGTCCAAAAAATCGGCCGCCGCGTCCAAAAAATCGGCGCCACGTCCAAAAAAGCCACTGGCGGCCTCTTGGTGGCTCACACAAAAGAGAGAGAGAGAGAGAAGGAGAGAGAGAGATGGTGGTGTCGAAAAAATCGGCCGCCGTGTCCAAAAAATCGGCGCCACGTCCAAAAAAGCCACTGGCGGCCTCTTGGTGGCTCACACAAAAAGAGAGAGAGAGAGAAGGGAGAGAGAGATGGTGGTGTCCAAAAAATCGGCCGCCGTGTCCAAAAAATCGGCGCCACATCCAAAAAAGCCACTGGCGGCCTCTTGGTGGCTCACACAAGAGAGAGAGAGAGTGAGAAAGAGAGAGAGAGATGGTGGTGTCGAAAAAATCGGCCGCCGTGTCCAAAAAATCGGCGCCACGTCCAAAAAAGCCACTGGCGGCCTCTTGGTGGCTCACACAAAAGAGAGAGAGAGAGAAAGAGAGAGAGAGAGAGATGGTGGTGTCCAAAAAAATCGGCCGCCGCGTCCAAAAAATCGGCCGCCGCGTCCAAAAAAGCCACTGGCGGTCTCTTGGTGGCAGAGAAAGAGAGAGAGAGAGAGAGATGGTGGTGTCCAAAAAAATCGGCTGCCGCGTCCAAAAAATCGGCCGCCGCGTCCAAAAAATCGGCCGCCGCGTCCAAAAAAGCCACTGGCGGCCTCTTGGTGGCAGAGAAAGAGAGAGAGAGAGAGAGATGGTGGTGTCCAAAAAAATCGGCCGCCGCGTCCAAAAAAGCCACCGGCGGCCTCTTGTTGGCTCACACGAAAGAGAGAGAGAGAGAAAGAGAGAGAGAGATGGTGGTGTCCAAAAAATCGGCCGCCGCGTCCAAAAAAGCCACAGAAGGCCCCAGATGTCCAAAAAATCGGCTGCCGCGTCCAAAAAATCGGCCGCCGCGTCCAAAAAATCGGCCGCCGCGTCCAAAAAAGCCACTGGCGGCCTCTTGGTGGCTCACACAAAAGAGAGAGAGAGAGAAGGAGCGAGAGAGAGAGATGGTGGTGTCCAAAAAATCGGCCGCCGCGTCCAAAAAATCGGCCGCCGCGTCCAAAAAAGCCACTGGCGGTCTCTTGGTGGCAGAGAAAGAGAGAGAGAGAGAGAGATGGTGGTGTCCAAAAAAATCGGCCGCCGCGTCCAAAAAAGCCACCGGCGGCCTCTTGTTGGCTCACACGAAAGAGAGAGAGAGAGAAAGAGAGAGAGAGATGGTGGTGTCCAAAAAATCGGCCGCCGCGTCCAAAAAATCGGCGCCACGTCCAAAAAAGCCACTGGCGGCCTCTTGGTGGCTCACACAAAAGAGAGAGGGAGAGTGAGAAAGAGAGAGAGAGATGGTGGTGTCCAAAAAATCGGCCGCCGCGTCCAAAAAAGCCACTGGCGGCCTCTTGGTGGCTCGCACAAAAGAGAGAGAGAGAAAGAGAGAGAGAGAGGATGGTGTTGTCCAAAAAATCGGCCGCCGCGTCCAAAAAATCGGCGCCACGTCCAAAAAAGCCACTGGCGGCCTCTTGGTGGCTCACACAAAAGAGAGAGGGAGAGTGAGAAAGAGAGAGAGAGATGGTGGTGTCCAAAAAATCGGCGCCGCGTCCAAAAAAGCCACTGGCGGCCTCTTGGTGGCTGACACAAAAGAGAGAGAGAGAGAAAGAGAGAGAGAGAGAGATGGTGGTGTCGAAAAAATCGGCCGCCGCGTCCAAAAAATCGGCGCCACGTCCAAAAAAGCCACTGGCGGCCTCTTGGTGGCTCACACAAAAGAGAGAGAGAGAGAGAAAGAGAGAGAGAGAGATGGTGGTGTCCAAAAAAATCGGCCGCCGCGTCCAAAAAAGCCACAGAAGGCCCCCAGATGTCCAAAAAATCGGCCGCCGCGTCCAAAAAATCGGCCGCCGCGTCCAAAAAAGCCACTGGCGGTCTCTTGGTGGCAGAGAAAGAGAGAGAGAGAGAGATGGTGGTGTCCAAAAAATCGGCCGCCGCGTCCAAAAAAGCCACTGGCGGCCTCTTGTTGGCTCACACGAAAGAGAGAGAGAGAGAGAAAGAGAGAGAAAGATGGTGGTGTCCAAAAAAATCGGCCGCCGCGTCCAAAAAATCGGCGCCACGTCCAAAAAAGCCACTGGCGGCCTCTTGGTGGCTCACACAAAAGAGAGAGAGAAGAGAGAGAGAGAGAGATGGTGGTGTCCAAAAAAAATCGGCCGCCGCGTCCAAAAATCGGCGCCACGTCCAAAAAAGCCACTGGCGGCCTCTTGGTGGCTCACACAAAAGAGAGAGAGAGAAAAGAGAGAGAGAGATGGTGGTGTCCAAAAAATCGGCCGCCGCGTCCAAAAAATCGGCGCCACGTCCAAAAAAGCCACTGGCGGCCTCTTGGTGGCTCACACAAAAGAGAGAGAGAGAAAGAGAGAGAGAGATGGTGGTGTCGAAAAAATCGGCCGCCGCGTCCAAAAAAATCGGCGCCACGTCCAAAAAAGCCACTGGCGGCCTCTTGGTGGCTCACACAAAAGAGAGAGAGAGAGAGAAGGAGAGAGAGGATGGTGGTGTCCAAAAAATCGGCCGCCGCGTCCAAAAAATCGGCCGCCGCGTCCAAAAAAGCCACTGGCGGCCTCTTGGTGGCTCACACAAAAGAGAGAGAGAGAGAGAGAAGGAGAGAGAGAGGATGGTGGTGTCCAAAAAATCGGCCGCCGCGTCCAAAAAATCGGCCGCCGCGTCCAAAAAAGCCACTGGCGGCCTCTTGGTGGCTCACACAAAAGAGAGAGAGAGAGAGAGAGAGAGAGAGAGAGAGAGGATGGTGGTGTCCAAAAAAATCGGCCGCCGCGTCCAAAAAAGCCACAGACGGCCGCAGATGTCCAAAAAATCGGCCGCCGCGTCCAAAAAAGCCACTGGCGGCCTCTTGGTGGCTCACACAAAAGAGAGAGAGAGAGAGAAAAGAGAGAGAGAGAGAGATGGTGGTGTCCAAAAAATCGGCCGCCGCGTCCAAAAAATCGGCGCCACGTCCAAAAAAGCCACTGGCGGCCTCTTGGTGGCTCACACAAAAGAGAGAGAGAGAGAGAAGGAGAGAGAGAGAGGATGGTGGTGTCCAAAAAATCGGCCGCCGCGTCCAAAAAATCGGCCGCCGCGTCCAAAAAATCGGCCGCCGCGTCCAAAAAATCGGCCGCCGTGTCCAAAAAATCGGCGCCACATCCAAAAAAGCCACTGGCGGCCTCTTGGTGGCTCACACAAGAGAGAGAGAGAGTGAGAAAGAGAGAGAGAGATGGTGGTGTCGAAAAAATCGGCCGCCGCGTCCAAAAAATCGGCGCCACGTCCAAAAAAGCCACTGGCGGCCTCTTGGTGGCTCACACAAAAGAGAGAGAGAGAGAGAAAGAGAGAGAGAGAGAAAGAGAGAGAGAGAGAGATGGTGGTGTCCAAAAAAATCGGCCGCCGCGTCCAAAAAAGCCACAGACGGCCCCAGATGTCCAAAAAATCGGCCGCCGCGTCCAAAAAAGCCACAGAAGGCCCCAGATGTCCAAAAAATCGGCTGCCGCGTCCAAAAAATCGGCCGCCGCGTCCAAAAAATCGGCCGCCGCGTCCAAAAAATCGGCCGCCGCGTCCAAAAAAGCCACTGGCGGCCTCTTGGTGGCTCACACAAAAGAGAGAGAGAGAAGGAGCGAGAGAGAGAGATGGTGGTGTCCAAAAAAATCGGCCGCCGCGTCCAAAAAATCGGCCGCCGCGTCCAAAAAAGCCACCGGCGGTCTCTTGGTGGCAGAGAAAGAGAGAGAGAGCGAGATGGTGGTGTCCAAAAAAATCGGCCGCCGCGTCCAAAAAATCGGCCGCCGCGTCCAAAAAAGCCACTGGCGGCCTCTTGGTGGCTCACACAAAAGAGAGAGAGAGAGAGAAAGAGAGAGCGAGAGAGATGGTGGTGTCCAAAAAATCGGCCGCCGCGTCCAAAAAAGCCACTGGCGGCCTCTTGGTGGCTCACACAAAAGAGAGAGAGAGAGAGAAGGAGAGAGAGAGAGAGAGATGGTGGTGTCCAAAAAAATCGGCCGCCGCGTCCAAAAAGCCACAGACGGCCCCAGATGTCCAAAAAATCGGCCGCCGCGTCCAAAAAAGCCACTGGCGGCCTCTTGGTGGCTCACACAAAAGAGAGAGAGAGAAGGAGAGAGAGAGAGAGATGGTGGTGTCCAAAAAAATCGGCCGCCGCGTCCAAAAAAGCCACAGACGGCCCCAGATGTCCAAAAAATCGGCCGCGGCGTCCAAAAAAGCCACTGGCGGCCTCTTGGTGGCTCACACAAAAAGAGAGACAGAGAGTCAGAAAGAGAGAGGGATGGTGGTGTCCAAAAAATCGGCCGCCGCGTCCAAAAAAGCCACAGAAGGCCCCCAGATGTCCAAAAAATCGGCCGCCGCGTCCAAAAAATCGGCGCCACGTCCGAAAAAAGCCACAGACGGCCTCTTGGTGGCTCACACAAAAGAGAGAGAGAGAGAGACGGGGAGGGAGAGAGAGAGAGATAGATAGATAGATAGATAGATAGATAGATAGATAGATAAAGAGCTCCCTTGCGTTAGACTCGCTTGCCTTCATCGCAGTTTGAAGTGAGAATGCCAAGCGAACAAAATCGGAAGCCGCAAAAATGTAATTTTTCTAAAATTGTTCATCAGGTCTGATTCAGACTTTTTGAAAGGCTAGCGGGAAGCATATGGGAATTGCGCACCGGGAAAAAATCATATCGTATCTCGGACAGATGTCGCCACACTCAGCAAAGGTTCACCCCTTAATTCTCATCAAATCATTAGTGTTGGCGGGCCGTCGGCGGGAAAAAGGCCTTCCTTTTTCGCATTCTTAACTTTGTTCGCCGCGACCTCCTAATCCCTTTTTCTCGTTGACGTTTTATTTTAAAAGAATAAGTGGTCCTCAGGCTCCCTCAACGATACCTATATTAAACTGTGAAAACGATGCGCCTGCCGAGCGATTTGATAGCTGCGGTGCTGGACCAATTAGAGCCTGAAGAGCTGATCAAATTACATCAGGCCAACAAGGAGTTCCGGTTTGTTTGGTCCTAGTTAATCTGGATAAAGGCAATCTAATGTTTAGAGCACGCATAGCTCGGCGCGGACTGCTACCTGGTCGTGTACGAATGTTGCGTATCTACGGCCAAATACTCGCCGAAGACCATGAAGGGGTCCGTTTTTCTGTACTTTTTGCTCGCCAAGTTGGCGACTTCATCCGAATTCTTATCATGCATCATAAGTTTAGGTACTGCTGAAACAATGCGAATTTGGAGTGGAAAGCCGCGGCGGGACGATGATCTTCGCGAGCAACCTCAGCAACCGGATCTTCCATGTTCTCGACAAAACGTGAGCATAAAAGGCCTTGGACCCGGCTTGCGGCTTGTTTTTGGCCTTGAAAGCAGAAAATTCGGGCTTTTGTTTGCCTGATTAATTCCATGCTTTCAGGATACCAAGGGACGCCGTGGAGCCGGGATATCCAGACAGTCTTCCCTGTAAGCGTCGCTTGGATACGGAATTTAAGCTGCCCGAAAAGTTGGTTTTTATAGTCTGTTTACCGTTCATTGCACGTCTATGTTTTATCAGGTCGCAGATTTAAATGAGAAACGCTTTAGGAGCTTCCGCATCCGCTGGCGAGCCTTTTTCAAGCCTCTGCTAAGAACGCTTGAACGAATCCACGCGGTCGAAGAGCTGGAGATCCACCTGGTCACCGATGGCCAAAGGGTAGGACTTTGGTTTAACTAGGGGAGACCCAATAAATCCGTACTTAGAATTGAGGTAAGATTTGAACATAGATAGAATCGACCACGCTGATCGTTACCTAGCTTTCCGACGTTGCCGCTGATCTTCAAAATGCGAAATATTTCTGTTTTAGTGTCAATTTTCTCCGGCGAGGAGGGATTCTGCGGTTTTTTTTGAAGTTCTAATTTATTTTAAGTAGCCTATCTGATAGAGAATTGTTTTTTCTGATTCGGTTCGTGTGTTTTTTTAGAGAAGACTTACAGCTGTTTGAAGTAGGCTGTTTTCCACCATTTCGCATACAAAAACGGCCGTCCATGCCAAGTATCATGATTATTCCAATTTTTTCAGTGTTCGAAAATTTTGAGCTGGGGGGCTCACTCGAAAAATAAGAATTTTCTGAATGCGCGGGCGAAATTTGTTTTTGCAAATCCGGCCGGGAGGATCGAAATAATCGAGGTCAAAGTTTGACGATATCACTTTAAAAGCGGCATATCGCACGATTTAAAGATCGGTAGCAAATTCGGAGCACGAGACGACGATCAGCGTGGTCGATTCTATCTATCTGTTTCAGATGATTCTAATTCTAAGTCTGGGTTTACTCGCGCTCCCCTAGCAGGTGCAGTGCAACCCGCCCCCCCCACCCCAGGAGCAAACGCCCCGACCGTATCTCGTCTCGTATCTCGTACTACCGGGTATTAAATCATACTAAAATATTCGCCAGAGCAAGGCGAATTTTCGTACACTTTAAACAACCTGTACGCAAACAGAGGGCCGAGATAGAAAAGTTGGGCGCCGGCTGGGGGGGGGGGGGTATATCTGCGCTCTAACCGGTCTTTTTCTTGAATTGGCCCAGTGAAAAGGCCGGCTGAACGGTAACGCGAGAAAAGCACAAAAGCTCCTTTCGATTTCAAAACTGTTCTTGTTCCAGACCATCTACGGAATGCCGTTCGACCAAGCGTATTGGCGTCATTCAGGCGTAAGTGGCTCTGGAACAATTGAGTGAAGAGGCGCGATGACTAAGACAAAACTTAATTTCAGGCAGCCTACGCTCGAGGGCAAATTGAAGAAGTTCAATCCGGAGCACGCTTGAAGAAGCGGATCATCCAGGTTTGGCGCCGGCCTTCAAACCGTGCTTATTGGCGATCCCTGGACACATGTAATTCAAAAGTTATCTGAGTTTTAGATAGCACCATTATTACGGGCATTGCGTCACATCGGCCACTGTTACTACGATGAGGAGGCCAACGCGGTTTTCACAAAGACCAAAAGCTTCATCGGCGGCGCTCCGGCTTCACTGCGCATCTGTGAGGTAAGGGCATCTACAGGGTGCGGAAAAAGTTTTCGGCGGCGCACCTTTTATGAAAAAGATTTGTCAAGATGAGCGTGTCGACTACATTTTTTTGGTGTCCTGATAGATTGGGACGATTCTCATCCGATTACACGAACCAAAGATTTTTTAATAAGCGCTCGACCAAAATAACCGAGCTCGGAACACCGATGCGCAGGCGAGTTTCTAAAATGGCCATCATTTGGCCGATGTAGAAAGCGCGGTTAAAATTTTCCGTAGCAGACTACCAGGCTTCCGAGCTCACCGATTATAAAGAACAACCCATTAGCATTATTCCATATCAATAGTATTGCTTGGTCAACAGGCATGGCTGAATTCTCAGATGATTTGGCTGAAACGCGGCAGCCTGCCAAAGCTTTAGAATGTTCAGCACCGCGTAAAAGCTGTTTCCAGCGTTTGTGGCAAGCATCATTTTTCTTTTTTAGATTAAGGGATGTCGTTTAAGAATATCCGTACGCTAAATCCCATTAGCAAGGCCGTTATCTTCGGATTTTGTGACTACTGACAGGAGATTTCCCATCTCGACCAAAAATTCACCTAAAATTAAAAACGTCACAACTCTTTGGGATTGAACCAAAATTTCTTGAGATTTTGTGGGAAGATAGATCACAGGTTTGGCAACATCTCTACAAAATTTTGTGCATTTTGACCATGGATAGCTCACAGGGGGTACTGTAACAGCAACGAAACAGAAGCGTGCCGGGGCGTTTCTAAGATGCTTTTCGGTCCTTCTAATCGGGTAAAATCTTTGAATTTGGGTAATCCAGTCGTGAAATATGATGCAAGAGACTTTACTTTCCAGCCTCGAATCCAAAAAATCTGAATAACACCTCTAGATTTCGAGTAACAGAGTTATTGGCCCCGCCGAAAACTTTCTCCGCACCCTGTACACGGTGTCACCAAAAAAAAGCACCTCCCCGGCCGGCATTTGGCCGTCTTACATCCGATAGGGCCCTTCCTCAGTTAGGACTCGATATTGAACCCCCAGCAAAAACGAGGCCGTATAAGCCTCGCCAAACAAACAGGCCAAAAACGGCAATTTGCCAGGGCATCTCATGGCCCGCAGTGACGACATGTAATTCCAGGCTCTTTTCGAGCAAAAATACTAAAAGGGAAACTCTTTGAAGACTTATAACTTTTTATTTGGATTCTAACTTCAAAAAGTAGATTTCCAGAGTTGTAGAAGAAATGCCCTTATTCGAATATGACTAAAAAGGAAGAAAACTGAATTTAAGAAATGAGTTGCACCAAGGCTTTGAAGTCTCCGGTTTGTAATCGGTCCCAATTCCTCATTTTTCGTGGGCGGCCCAAACCGTTGCTTGAGTGGTGGTGGTACTTGGCCCAATTTTTCGGAGAGATAAACGATTCCGGACAAGTGATTTTTGACAGCTTCGGTTGATTCTTTACCTTTCATACCGACCCGTTCCTGTTTTATAAACTGCTTTTCCAGCCAGCGATGTCGTGGGAGTTCGACTTTGTTCCACGCGATACGGTAAGTCAAGTTCAAGAAACGAAGGTGGTGAGCAAATTTTTCTCGCGGCCCCCTCCGAAATATCGCTAGTTCTTGTTCTAGTTCTAAAATCCTGCCCGGCGGCGAGAATTCGATGGTCCGGGGTCCAAGGCGCTTCCCCGAGGCCGAGTCGTCCGGGTTCGATTTTACCCCACTTTGAGCAAATACCGTAGCCTGGCATTCTAAAACGCAATTTGTCTAAGATCTTGGGCCCGTCAAACGAGAGCAAACTGCACCTTTAACAAATTTGAAATTGCATGTAGCGCGAAAATGAGCTGATTCTCAACAAAAATCACCCACATTTCACTTCCAGGACGACAGCTTTCCAAAAACGTTTTCGGCGTTTTTAAAGAATTGCGAGACGTGGCCAAGCAGCGCATTTTTCAGACAGGAATCACACGAATCTGCACTGGAACTCTTGTCTGTAAGCATTGTTAATGTGGGCTTTTACCGTTTTGGCAGGCCTACCGGTTACTTTGGCTTACAAAAACTAGGTGGTACTTCGCATACTTGCTTTTAGCGATTGATACAAGGCTCGGGAAGGGCTCGACCGCGCGCCGGACTCATATACACGTTGGTCGGATTCGGACATCGGATTGACTTCCCGGCTGACGGGGAACAATACATTGAGACGATTAAGGTCGGCCAATTCTGGTTTGTGTGGAGGATCACTATACAGGGTGTCACAAAAAAGACCTCCCTCTAGCGGTCGGCAGTGATGTCCGATATTTAAGAGTTAGGTAACTATCAAAAGTTTTCGACGAGCTGGGGATAAATGCTCTATCCGATTTGTGAAATTCCCGAAGCTTTAACCAGATTTTCATCGTTTTTTTGGGCATAAATTACGCAATTTTGTGCAAAAGCTCAATTTAATCGGCTTCAGTCTCATCCAAGCTGTGTTTTCTCAAATGGCTTTCAAAAAGCCGACTCTGGGCTGCCAGGAAAGATGTAAAAATTTGGAAAATGAGGTTTTTGTTAAAACGCTTGCGTGAAAAAAGCATCGAAAATTCAGCCAATTTCGCAAAAATGTAAATAGATGTGATAAATATCGGGAATTTCGGAAATCGGAAAAAACCTAACTGTTGATGATATTTTACGTGTTATTTTCATAGTGTTTTTAGTATTTTTTGACTGTTAGTAAGTTATAAAAATTTTGATGATTGGCAAATTCTGACTGTATAATCAACTTTATATTATGCTTCTAAGTTGCTTACAAACATAAAATAAAAATTTAGACCACTAAAGTAACCGCGGAACAAAGAAATTCATACTTTTTGTCTAGGTTTCTCACGTGAGGAAAATGCGGTGAAATGAGAAGGCGGAGAAATGAAAATGTGGCCTAATAAAAAGGCGGTGTATTGAAATTCAGTGCTATGGTCAGCGGTGTAATGATAGGAATTCCACTTATAGATGGATATTGCACGCGTCGCGCCAAGTCTGATCCCGATCGAGGAGAGGTGCCCTAAAGCCTCAAAACTACGAGCTGCCTTCGACAGAGAGTATTTAACAAGACGGCCGCCACCTTCATCTACTTCATTTATGGTAAGTGGACTAGGAACTGCCGTTGCTACTGTTTCGATTCAATAGATTCGATAGAAAAAGAATAAGATTCCAATGCGATCGACGTGCCAATTTTCAGACTCTTGGCCCTGTGGCCGCCAGCTGGTATTACAGACAAGATGAGACAGCAGGTGGTAAGCAATGTCATTTACTTTAAAGCTATATATTTGCCACCAAAACCTTAGGCATCCCTTTAACTTACAAAAAGACTTTTAGTGACAGTCGGGTTTCCGTACGGGAATACGACCAAAGATCTTGTGCAGAATTTCGGGCAGATAGGCTTGGTACCGTACGGAAACTAGACTGTCACTAAGCAACGTCTCCTTTGTTAGAACCAAGAAATAATTAAGCATAAAACGAAGGATATCTATCTCATGCGTAAATATTACAGGAATGGTTGTGATGGCGAGCGTGCATCTACGGGAGCCGGGTTGTGGTCACGACCGTTTCGCCCTGACAGTGAAGTTAGACGAGTGAACTATGTCTTTGGAGTGCCAATACCGTCCATCCTCTACAACCGCCAAACAATTTTTTGAAGGTGTCTTTAAGAAGTAAAAAAATGCCAAATATACTTTGTTTAAACTTCTTATCGTGTTCCTGAGTGCTTGTCGCAGTTTGGATTGCAAGAAATTGTTGTAATTGCTCAAAATCACAAAAATATGTCCCTCTCTATAATACACCCCTTTTCCGTGACGTGACAGAAAAAAATCTAACCCCGGGGCTATTAGAGTAGTATCGGCTGGGAATGATAGTTACACCATTCGAAAGCCCTTGAAACGGCCAGTTTGAATCAATCTTCAAAACCCTATTTTTATCTGGCCCAGCGATTTGAAACGCATTTAAAACCTTAAGGAACGGCCCCTGCATCCAATTAGCGGCTACTTTCGGCTATTTTACTTGGAGAAATTGAGGCAAATTAGCTCGTATGAAACCACGAAAAACCATAAAATTTTACAAAGAGGCCTGTAAAATAGTGGGTTTTAGTAAAACCATGGTTTTGAAGATTGTTAAAACTCGCCGTTTCAAGCGCTTTCGAATGGTGTAGCTTTCATTCCGGTCCGATACTTCTGCGTTGAGTTAGAGGGGGTGTTTTTTGTTGGGACACCGTTTAGAGGAAATATGGTATGAAATCTTGTTAGTCGTACGAATAATTGGCAAAAATAAAATTCGTATGGCCCGAATGGAGGACCCGGCCCGGAATTTTCGGAGGTGGATATGAACTTATTATATTAATTTATTGCACGCAGCTCGAAGTGGGGGGAAAATGAGGAAGACACCTTTACATCCAATTTGAGGCCGTCGGACCGCTCTCGAACATCACGCATTTCCGCCCAGGCGTATCGGAAGCGTGGGACGCGTATGGTGACGGAAATTATCTCACGATCCCCAGCCAGCCATTCCGCTAGGAGCTGCCGGACGAAAGGTTCCGCCTGAAATTTTGGCGGAATTTCGTTGTCTTCGATTTTGTCAAAGCGTTCTGGAAATTGATTCACTGTAAGCATAAAGAGAATTAAAGTTAAAATTCCTGAAATCTAGGCAAAACGGCCTTCGTCAATTGTTTTCCATAAAATAGAATTACGGCAACATAATTTGCGAGAAACTACGATTTCGAGTTCTTTCGCATTATCGGGGGGGAGGAGGAACGGTTCAATTTTTAAAATAATATAGTGAAAGGGTTTCTTATTCCGAAACGTAAAAACTTGACAAGTTTTATTAAAAAAATACAAAAATATCGATTTTTCGATCAAAAGCGCGGTTTTTAAGCAAAGTTTCGGCTTTTTCAATATGCTGAAAATTTTTTAACTGGTTGTGATAGTTGAAATATGGTATTATTTTGCTAAAAACACTTACCCTTAAGCTACTATACAAAACGTTGCGGTAGTTTTTAAACGGAAATTGAAACTGAAATCCTCGGCCAAAATATTTGCTTACCTGGTCGACCGCCCCAATTTCGATGGCAAGCATCATTCTGGAATTCCTGAACTTCAAGCAGTTCAAAAGGTCGTCAACTTCCCAAACATCCAGAATCCCGTCGTGCAATGTTTGGGCGTACAAGGTATTTTCTGGGGTTGGACGCAGGTTTTTGAACCTCAACCGTAGGAATCCTTCCACCGGACGCATTGCTTCACAAAATTCTGCGACATCGTCCAATCGACAGGTGATCTCCAGAAGCCGAGCCTTCAGCCCATGAAGTTTAAAATCTGCCCTTGGTACTGTAATCGAGCGTACGACCGCGTCCGTGAAAAGTAGTCGTTGCACGGAGGGGCTGCGTATATTGTACTTCCACGTACTGCGCCAATCGTTCAGTTCGGCTACTTGGAACGCGCCGTCGCCGTGGATTTCTACGTAAAAACTGTCGAGGTTTTTCCGGGTATCCTGCACGGATTTCCACAAGGTTTTGCAACTTCTGGCGAGCAGAAAAACGGGGAGAATGTCCTTTTTCGCGAGTTCATTGATGATTTTTGCGTGGATTTCGGGTGGTAATTGGGCTAGATTTGGCATCGGGGAACTCTACAACAATTTAAATTTCAGAGCAACATTATCTGAAATCATTAAAAACACAAATATTTAGAAATGAAAAATATTGTAAATGGCTTCTTTCGCAATATCGGGCGGGGGGGATTGGGGATTTTTTGTATTAATTTAGAAATGCCTAGTAACTCCATAGATACAATTTTCATAATGTTATTTTTTTCAAAACTTATTTATGATTAGAAAAACTATTCAAAAACTTAAAAAATTTTACAAAAACGAAGTGGGTAAAAAACATTTTTGCCGAAAAATCTATATTTTTTGTATTTCTTTAACAAAATCTTCAAAGTTTTTACATTTCAGGATAATAAAACCAGTTTAGAAATACTTCCGCTATTGTTAAATAAATCTTAAATAAAAACTTCTAAAATTGTCTAAAAACTCAAAGTTGAAAAGGGGCTCCAGCGTAAATTAATGAAGAAAGAGCGCTTAATCCGCGTAAAACCGGAAGCTATATAAAAATACAGATTTTAGTGAGTGCTGGATTGGCTTCAATAATTTTGAAATTATTACTAACACTATAGAGTTTTAGAACAATCAAAAATCCAGGAATAGCTATGAAAATTAAACAAGACAAGACAGTCTTATCGCGTCCGCAGTTGAAAGAGGCGAAAAATATCGATTTTCTTTGCTTCTCTGCGCTCTCCCGGATTTTCCGCTGCAAAAGGAAATGCAATACGGCTAAAAGGAGATCGGAAATTGACAGAATTTGTTTTTAGGTTCAAAGATTACTTTATTCATGAATCTTTAAGTGTCGCACGCATTAGCGTTATGGGAGTCGGCTTTAGCGGATGACTCAGTGGTTGTCCGCACTTTATATTTACTCCCGCAACCGCCGAAGAACGGAAATGTACTGTAGATCATGGCGGCGACTCGAATACGATAGGCCTGAAAATTAGAGATAGAGAGAGAGGGCGAGCGATAGAGAGCGAGCGAGCGAGCGAGAGAGGGAGTAAGGGAGAACAAAACAGTTACCTTACCTTAAACAATAATAAAACCAGAATCGCATCTGCCGGCGAGTAGCCAGCGAAAAACATGGCCGCGTAGAGCCCAATTTTTGGGTCCTCAATCACATCTGAAAGAAAAGTATCGGTCGTCAAGAGTAGCAGATCGTAGCCACATCATTTGAAAGCTCTCAAAAAACGAAAAACCGTCGCTTTTCGGATTGTAATGGAACAAATACGTGTAATGCCGCCGTAGAGCAGACAGAAAGCTGGCAAAATTTCGAAGATGACCGGGGTAACGGCCTGGAAACTGGCTCATTGGTCGTTGTTTTCGCAAAGCTACAGTACCTGGGCCCAGAGCACGGAAAGCAGCTGTAGCTGAAGCTTTTGCTGCTTGCCGGAGGGATAGATGATTTGACGTGATAGTACCTGGAATAGACCAAGAATAAGCCTAACCCGAAGCCGAAACCCGAGCCTAAGCCTAAGCCAAAGCCCAAGTCAAGCTTAAGCCGGTCGTCGTCGTCTGTCTAAAACCAACATTTTGACGCACGTGTAGCAGAGAACCACGTAGAACCCCCCAAACCACACGGCACACATCGAGGCGGGCGTCATATGGGGCCAGTAGATGAACATCTGGCCGGCGCTGTCGGTTTGCTACATAAAGACGATGCTGATAGCAATAAGTTGAAACAAAACGCACCGTAAAGCTGGGCCCAAAATAGAAAACGTTTTCGTCGAGCGTGACGTTGAGGTACGTTTTTAGGTACGGAGCGCTGAACACGTCCCTGAATTTGATGGGCTGAAAAAGGGCAATTGAAATTTTTTTGGAAGAGCGTAAAAGGCCTATTTTGGACTTGACAAGTCATTTAAGATACCGTAAGATGACTCACACTCATCCCCAAGTGGTTGAAGCAGACATAAAGCGTGGAGCATGCGATGTAGACGCCGATGACGTACACGATCCCTCGCGCAGTTTTGAAAAGGTGGGTTCGACGCCTGAATCTTGGAGAATTTTATAAGTTAGAGCTTCCTTTAAAGCTGCAACTTACGAGAGAGTGAGAGAGAGCGAGAGAGAGAGAGAGAGAGAGGGAGAAAGAGAGAGAGAGAGAGTAGAGAGAGTCGGTGATTACCGAATACCGATACTAACCCGGTGATCACCGTATATCGATACATGCAATGCACTCCGATCAATGTCATTGATTGCGAGAAAGTGTTTGCGAAAATGGATAACGCAATGAAATTCACAAGCCAAGAGGCGTGATTCGCAAAGCGCAGCGATATTGCGATAAATCCATGACGATCGAGGAGATATGCCTAAAACGAGGCAGAGTAGTTCTGTGCAAAGTAGGGCAAACTAGCAGTGGTTATTGGGATTCAATTTTTTTGTTTGATCTTCACGTCTAAATATGCCATGGGTGGGCTAGCAGAGATTCTTTGAGATTCGAAGCCGTTCTGGACTGCATGTCTAAATCAGCCAAGGGCAGTCTAGCAGAGATTCTTTAAGATTCCGAACTCCCTGGTTTTGGCTACACGTCTAAATCTGCTTAGGGCAGTCTTGCAATGACCATTTGACTCACCGGCTCTACCGTAATATGCACGATCGAGAAATAAAGATTATATATCGCGACCACGGACAGCATCCTTCGGTATCCTTTGGCTACTGAAGAACTGTCCGTTTGGATCAGATATAGCAGAAATGAGTTCGAGCACAACCCGAGTGTGTTGGTGACCGTCGTGACGATTTGGTGAAATGTTGTAAGCAACATTTCTAAAGGTTTCTAAAGTCAAGAATAATCCGATTTTTTAAAAGAATTGACTGGACATGAATCACAATTAAAATACGACAGGTTCTACGTGTTCCCCGGCTTGCTGACAAGGAGACTTTTTTGAGTGTCGTCGGGACTTTGGCATGGGACCAAGCCCATCTTGTGCAGAATTTTACGCTGATTCCAAATATGGTAACCGTTTTTGCGGAATAGCCATTTCTCGAAAGTTATGCACGATTGAAACCGCAAAACAGCCCAAAATCGGCTACTTTCGATAGCCATAAAAGACTTCGGAATAGGTTTTAAGCAAAACCAAATAGTGCATCTTGTTCAGAAAAAAATTCTCTACAAAATATGCGACTTAACTCAAAAATTTTGGTATTTTGAAAATTTTTGTAAAATTATGGGCCTCACAATTTATGAAATTTTTCCAACTCTTAATAATTTTGGGCAGGTTAGTACATTTTGATAGAGAATTTTTTTCTGAATAAGATGCACTATCTGGTTTTGTCTAAAACCTATTCCGAAGCCTTTTATAACTATCAAAAGTAGCCGATTTTGGGCCGTTTTGAGGTTTCTCATAACTTTCGAGAAATAGCTATTCCGCAAAAACGGTTACCATATTCGGAATCAGCGTAAAACTCTGCACAAGATAGGCTTAGTCCCATGTCAAAGTCCCGACGACACTAAAAAACGTCTCCTTGTGAGACTAATAAGTTCAGGTCCTTCTGTAGCTTGTATCCCCCGGGGGGATTCGATCAGTGAAGCAGAGAGAACGCACGGCTGTATTGAAAAAAAAACAACGGAGAACCGTATCCCTCAGGGATTGAATATCCTTAACAAAACTGGCAATTAACAGAGCAGAACATACTTTGCAAAAAACCGGTCATGACTTGGCTGAGGTTCCATTTCTGTGAAATTTGGCTTGACGGGTATCGCATCTCATAGATATCACCAAAAAAGTATTCCGGCTGCAGAGAATGACTCGCATCCACTATTTCTTCCGGGAGCTATAAACGCCAAAATTTTAGATTTTTCACAATTCGCAATAGTGTCTTGTTGCGTAAAAACTGAATTTTGCTTCACAATGTGGTAAGACAGCGCGCTTGCAAGGTGACGTTTTTGCGTGTCCACGGAATTTCGAAAAAGGACCCAACCTACGTTTTTGAGAATTGATGCTGATTGAAATGCTCGTTTCATAATCGGCGAAGCAATCAGATTAAAAAAAGGGGTTTTGAGTCGTTAGCGCTGGGGGGGGTGACAATTTTTTTTTTTGTGAATGGCTTCTTTTATCTTAAATTACATTATTTTGAGCTGTGTAGAAAAATCTAAGTATGTTTTTTTTGATGCTCTATCGAACAGCTTTAACCGAATGCCAAAAATTATCGAAAATCCGGATTGTAAGGCTCCTTCCTGACAAGATCTTCGGCGGCATCAGGCCAACACCAGGGGGGCCAAAATACAGTCTTGGCCAAGAGATAATTGTTTTTTTCCGCAGACCACCCAGGCGTCAAATTCGTGAATATTGATTCCTTGACTTTCGATAGTAATTGCCTAGCGGCGCGTAGTCTATAATTGGGACTGATGAGCCCTGAAAGTATGCTAGAAATACTTGCGGTCAAAGGAAAGGATCTCTGCACAACACGGCACTAAAATTTTGCGGTAACCGAGCGTCATCAGACTTTCACACTTTCAAAATTAGGAACAAGGCAGGCGCTTGAACCCAGCTTGCTGAGCAAGAACAAGGTCTTAAGAACTAAATTCGAGTTCTTTTGCACTATCAGGGGGACCAGTTTGTCGGGTAAAATTTTCTTTTCGGCCGGTTTTCGAATGACACACGAAGCGCCGCCCAGTGATCCCGACGTCATCCACCCTGTTCCGCGGTTTTTTAGGGCCTGCCAGAAAAAACTTTATTCAAAAGCAGTTGCAGAAGTCAAGCAGGAATGTTTTGCGAGTCTGCTTTTAAGGACGAGCTTGTCGTCGTGTTGATTTTATAGGTGCTCTCTGACTTTCCAAAGAATGGCAAGATTTTGCGGACGATCGCAGCTACTCGGACACGGTAGGCCTGGAAATAGCGATAGTGGAAAGGGAGCGAGTGAGTGAGAGGAAGCGAGAGTGAGAGAGAGAGCGTGGGAGCAAGAAAAAGAAATAGTTAGTGGTAAGCTAATTTACCTTAAACAATATCAGCACCAAAATCGCATCGGCGGCCGAGTAGCCAGCGATAAACATCGAGAAATAAATCCCGGGTTTTGTTTGCTGGACCAGATCTGAAGGCTTTTATTTTTCTATCCACTATTCCTGTATTCCTAAATTGCACCTTAAAAATGACTCACGGAAAAAGCCGCCCAGGATGATACAAAACGCTGGGAAAAACTCGAAGAAGACGGGGGAAAGCGCCTGAAAATCCCGGCTACGCTTTGTTATTAAACATTCCCAGGGTACGCAACGATACGTCTGCAAATTGGCAAAAACTTAATTCGATCGGGGCTAGCCCAGGTTGGGTGCGACGGCAATTTATTCTAGTGGGAAATGACACAAATTGTTAAAAACCACCCCCCCGTTAACAGTCCAGTACCGAATTCTAACGACGTTCATGAAATGAAGAATTAAGCGCACACAGAAATCCATCAGAAACAAGCCTTGAATATACCAAAAAAATATATTTACTTGTGCCAAAAGCACGTAGAGCAGTTGCAGCTGAATGCGGCGCTGCTTCCCGGTTATTACTGCCGATTTAACATGGAAATACCTAAAGAATGGTTTAATCAAATGGATTTCTCAAGGAAAATCTGTCGAAATCATCAGATGTTATTAGCTACGTATAGCCCTAAAACTCACAATTTTACCCCGGTATAGCAGATTAGGGAATAGATCGAGCCACAGAGCACAAGGCACATCGTCGAGCTGATCAGATCTACCCAGTTGATTACTTCACGGCCTGCCTCGTCAGGCACCTTAAAAAAGGTAAAAATGGCAAATACCGAACTACCAAATAGTTCGGCGCAAAGTAGAATACGGACTCGTCGAGTGTTACGTTGAGGTACTTCTTCATGTCGGCCCGGCTGAAGTCGGTGCGAGATTTGGTTGGCTGCAAGGGATGAGGCTGGCAAATTGGGACACAATAGGTTTTGTCGCACAAGCTAAGCTTAAGCCCAAGCTTAAGTCTAAGCTTAGGCCTAAGCCTACGCCGAAGCCGAGGCTAAGCCTGAGTCAACAAAAATTAGGTTTTGCCGTCAACTTAACGCCGCGAAGCGGTTTTTTAAGTTGTGTCCAGAAAGCTAAACCCGCGCCACTCACCTGCATCCCGCAAACACAGAATACCACGTAGAACATCGACGCCGTAAAATGGGTGACCACTACGCATAGTATGCCTTTTGTGGTTGTGAAAAAATAGGTGAGACGTCTAAGAATAAAAGTAAACTTTTGAACAAAGCTATGCAGTACCCCGTAATTACCGTATACCGATAGAGGCAATGGACTCCCAATAGACTCAGCGATTGGGCAAAGGAATTGGCAAAAAACGAGAGCGCCAGCATGTTCGTGAGCCGCGAGCCGTTGTTAGCGAAATTTCGCGAAATTGCGATGAAGCCATGGCTATCGACGAGATATACCTGGAAAGGGTGATTGGGTTGATGCCTAGACTTAAGCTTAGCACACACTTAGCTTGGACTTGGTTAGCTTAGGGTTAGACTTATTCTTAGGCTTAGGCTTAGGCTTAGCTTAGGCATGACTTTGCCAACTTTCGCCGTAATCCTAGCTTAGCTTTAGGCTTTAGCTTAGGCCTGGGCTTAGCTTACGCGTAAGCTTTGGCTTAGACTTAGGGATCTGTTTAGGTAAGCTCTGGCTTAGGGTCAAGCTTGGGATCAAGCTTAGGTTTAGCGTAGGCTTAGGTTTTCTTTAAACCTACGTTTAAGTTCAGCATTAGGTTTTTATGCTTTATTCTCAAGCTTAGTTCGACACCCAGGCTTGGTTCAGGTGTAAGCACCGCGTCCTATCTCTAAGCTGAAGCTGAGGAGAAGCTAAGTAGGCTTGGGTTCAGGCTTAGGTTTCAATTTTAGCCATAGGCAAATCGGGCAGTAAGCGAGCTGGCAAACCTTTGAAACTCACCGGTTCCACCACGATGTGAACCAGCGAGAAATACAAGTTATAAACAGAAATCACCGACAGCATCCTACGGTAGCCCTTGGCTACGGTAGCTGCGTCCGTCTGGATGAGAAATAGCAGAAATGCGTTCGTAAAAAGCCCGAGGCCAGTGGCCAGCATCGTGAAGCTTTGGTGTATTTGGGCTTCAAGCATTGTTGCGGGCAAAGGGTCCTCCTAGGCCACGAAATGAGGCGTCTGGAAGTCAAGACTGAATCCCGACACTTTTCCTAGTACGATAACTGTTCGCAGTGTTTTGTCAGTTTAGTACCCAGTTCCCATTGGAATCCCGGATATTTTCTCAGGTCCATCAAGAATTCTCTCACTTCCCGCGCACACTCACTCATTGGGTCGCTGCGAATTTTGTGGTAGTTTCTAGTATGTCGCAAGCGTTTGAGAAGCGGAAATCTGAAGCTTTTGGGGATAAGGAAAGCAGTAATTTGCGGAATGGACATCGAGGGATGTTTGTAAAAATGATGGCATTAAAAAGCGTTGTAAGACAAAACGGAGGCGAAACATTTTTGCAGTTCTCAAGTGAGGTTTTTTGCGGATACCTTTCTGTTCGTAAGCCGAATATTTGACGTTACAAAAATTGTTTAAATCAACGGTGATTTGACCAATTTTTATCGGGAAAAAAATGTATAGGGGGTCATGAAGGCTTGCCGCTTCCGTTTCACTTAATATTCGAAGGGTCGATTCCGACGAAACCCTTATGAAAAACGGATAATAAAGTTTATTTTTGTTGTATTTCAAAAACCACCATAGTTATGAGGCTGTGAATCAGGATTGTGGTTATTTAGGGTCTCATACACCTAAACGAATTTTGGGACCGTTCGGATGTAATATGGCGAAATGCGGGAGGGATGTTTTTTATGGGATACCCTGTATTCCTGGATCGCTGGACTTACAAAAAAGTAGTACAGGGTGGTGGTGCAGGTCGCTGGCCTTGTAGCGCTGTCCGGATCCTATCTTCCTGATCGATCGTGCCTAGGCATCTGATCCTCTCCCCGCCTCCAACTGGGGTCGGATCTCATGTTGCCGGGTCAAACTGACATCTCTGCCTCCAATTCGAAAATGTACTATATTTCGATATATTTTTTGTTGATCTCCTCAGGCTATGCCATACCAACCGCCAGTACACCTGAGCCACCGGCCACCGTAACCTGCCCGCCCGCAGGCGGTAATTTTTGCATGGAAGTCACCAGCAAGAATTGTTAACAAGGAGTCGTTTTTGGGTGCTTTTGGAGTTTTGGGATCAGGCAGAGCTTATTTTATGGAGCTAAAAGCTCTTACCAAACCATTTTTTCACATGCGGTACAATCAAGATCTCTAACAATTGTAAGAAAATTTTTCATAGCTGTTGCATTTTGTTAAGCAAGGGGAGAAAAATAGGCAAAAGCGGATTCTTAATAGCAAATTTACACTTGGTACAGCAACTTTTGAAATACGGGGTCCGTCTGGGTTTCAAGCTCGATAAAATCGGCTTTGTCAATTCGCAAAAAAAAAACCCAAAAAAGGTTCCAGGCCAACACGAGACGGGCGCCATCGTTTTGGACCATTTACTTCACAAGCAGTGGACGGTCGAAAATATCCCCGAATTTTCCAAGGCTTTCAGGGAGTTTCTGAATGATAGTGCCGGCATCGCCGAATTGATGGCCTCGGCTAAACCGGCCGGCCATTCGGTAGGTAGATATTCAGATTTTTCCTTTCACATCACAGCTTCCTAGATTTCCAAAATTTTATTCCTAAGCAAAAATACTATACAACTTTTAATTAACAAGTAATTTTACGTCGAAAAATTGATTTTTTTTGGGCCTAAATGACCAAAATTTGGATTTTGAACGTTTTTGATCTTTAAATATAACAAGAATATTCTTTAAATATTTAAACCTTACTAAGAACAATTTAAAAATATTTTATATTTGATTACTATCAGCCTGTACCGTCAGAAAAAATGTGCGAAAATCTGGGATTTTTGTTCCGCCAGGTATGAAAAATAATCAAAAAGCGCCAAAACCTCGAATTTTAAATTTTGCAAATATTTTTTGTAGCTTTCTAGCAAATTAAATTTACGAAAAACCAAAAAAATGCATAAATCTGTTCTCCGAACCATCCAGGTATCCGACTACCCCTGCACTCGCAACTTTACCGCTTCGCTACGTGCCGAAGTTTCGATAATGGGAAAACGAATGAACGAATCCCTCTTTACACGGAGCGTACAGAGGAGCGGCGTATATGAGGTACAGGCCGGGCCGGTATGCGAGTCGAGATCTCGCGGGCTTTGTAACAAATCACGTGAACTAGCCGCGCAATTGAAAATTCAGGAGTTCCAATTTTCGTTCTTTTCAGGATATGCTTCGTAAATTGAATGATTTCTTCTTGAAAGCCATCATCGCTCCGAACGAGATTAGTTTGAGTTTTGCCTGCCATCATCTTTCTCCTGTCGAAATGTTCCAGGTTGGTGGGGTACACATAGCATAGCGGGGGGGGGGGGATTTCTAATTTTGCGAATGCCATTCCATTAAGCGTCGAAAAACATACTAAGAGAATTTTTTTTCGAATCTAAAAGTTTTACAGCGTGAAAACTTTGATTGAAAATTATCGGCACCATACCGCGGACCTACTTTCGACATTTTGAATGTTTTCGATATTTGGAAAATGCGACGTGACAGAGGGCTAAAAATATGCTAACGGGGTTGTAAAAGCTTTTTTAACAAAAAACAGTACTTGAAACCATTTTTATAGCAAAAAACTTTGATTCCCCCGCCCCCGTTACCCCCCCTTCATATTTTATGTGCACAGTTGGTGGTATAGTGCCATATCGTGTGCTCCCGGGGCTGCTCCGTTTTTTTCCTTTTACAATTAAAAAACCAAGACCTGAACTTCCCGAACGCACCCTTTAATGTGCCTCCATTGCAGGTCTACGAGCGGCTTCTAAATTGCGACCGGATGACGGGCGAACGTGCCACCTTGATGAGGGGCTTGTCGCTCACTTTCAAACTCGTTGACCAGAGACCCGAATGGATGTTGGGAAAGGAGGAGGCTGACGATTATGAAAATTACAAAAGCAGTGAGTCGAGAAGTTCCAATACCTGAGCGCCTCTCTTGGAATCTCCAATCGGCTACACTTTACTTTACCCCCCTTCCCCCCTCCCCCAGCCGGAGGTTTTTGGCTATAACTTTTTATTTTACATTATTGTAGGCTCAATTAAACTCTGCGTATATCTTTTAACGCTTTATCCATGGCGTTGCAAAAATCCCGACAAAATAGGGTAGTAAAGTCTTACCCTCCAATCTCATAACTTCCTGGCAAAACCCAACGCGGTGATGGAAATCACTGGCCGGGGCTTCCAGAAAAATACTTTTTTTATCCCTGGCCCTAGTTACTTCAGAACTTCAGCAACACTCGCTCCCGTTTTAGAAAAAGCGCCTTACAGCAATCCGGGTTTACAGCGTTCAATTTTCTAGAGCGCAATTTAGCAGAGACCGTAACGATCTTTCTAAACTTGTTGAAAAATTTCAGACTTCTTCTTCCTGGAGAGTTCCCCGCCATTCGGAAAATTCTCGCGAATGGTAACTACTTATCCAGAAGATGAACCAAAACCGGCGTATTGGCTGGCATTCCGTAAGCAAGTTGCCTTTAAACGTTTAATTTTTAGTTTTTGCTACCCGTGGCGGATTTTCACGAGGTGCAGTCTTGCGCCGTCTGACTTATTGGGCCCAGCAAAGTAATGAAAAGTAAGTCTTACCTTACCTATCATGGTACAAAGGTGTATTTGGGTGTATTTTGGATATGTTGAAACCCGAACACTCGAGATGGGCGGAAAACATTCTCCAGCTGGGGCAGATGACCATCAAAGATTTGGAGAGGATTGTAAGTGCTGTTGATACTTTTCAAGCCTATCTAATCTATCAGGCGTTCCTATCCACAGTTTGCCAAAGAGTCCTTGGCCACGAACCGGATTATATGAACGTCTATAATCGACATGGTTTAGTCGCTGTCGCGGAAAGGCTTCAGCGACTTCTGCTGGCCAAACTGGTGGTTATTTAGGTTTTTTTGGAACTATCGATCACCCCATTACATCGAAACATGCCCCATTATAGCAGTTCGCGGACTACCGCGCTGGGATGCCAAGTTATCAACCACCGACCAATACTTTTTCGACGCCCGCCAATGAAGATTAACGCGAATTACTGAAGTAGACACAGTAAACGAGCCTTAGCCATAAAGCTGAGGCCGTTCGGTCCAGGGCCGTTATGAACTCGTAAAGTGAATTAATTTCAACCCGAAAAAAACGTAAGAGTAATTTATTGACTAAAGAAACATTGATCGAAAACTAGGTCTAGCCCAAAGGATAACGGTGCAGATAAAGACACGATAAAAATTCAAATTACCAGGATACATTTTTGAAGCTCACGAAAAGGTATTATACCAATCGTTTTTGTGTATGGTTTTTTTGCGCAACGCAACGCCACGTAAGGCGACGCAGCGCGACACACGCGGGACAATGTAATGCTACGCCAAGCAACGCGGCAGAGCGACACGCGACGCAATACAACGCAGCGTAACACCATGTAACGCAAACTCAACGCAACAACTTAACGTAACGTACACGACGTTTCGTTTTCATAATGAATTACGACCCTCTAATTTTACGTACTCAATGTGCGCATCACGTGGGGCGGACAGGGGCTATCCACAGCAAAAGATTCAAGTTACCCCTGGTCCGGTCCTGAAGAGATAAGGTAGCAGGCGGGAGGTTTTTAAAAAATCAGAGGCAGACTTCCAGGGCTTCTTTAGGGAGTTTGAAACCGGACTTACTGGCTCCACGACGATATGCACAAGCGAGAAATAAAGATTGTATACAGTAATCACGGACAGCATCCTACGATATCCCTTGGCTACGGTAGAGGTGTCGGTTTGGATGAGAAATAGCAGAAAGGAATTGACGCATAGTCCGAGCACGGTGGTGAACGTGGTGAAGATTTGGTGGATGGTGGATTCAAGCATTCTAAAGCTCAACGGATAACGGAATTTTTGAAAATAGAATTTAAGTTTTTGAAAGCGCGAAAGGCAAGAATATGGAGTTTGCTGCCGAGGCTATCGATTTCGCCCCTGAAAATCATACGCTAGTTAGGACAATGCCTCACGCTTTTTGGGACAATTTTAGAAAAGGGTGAGCGAAAAATCGTACTCCCTATGCTTTTCCGATCACGGTAGCGATTCTCAAAGATTCAGCCGTCTGTCATGTACCTGTCCCCGCAGTGAGTCCAAAATCCAAAAGCCGCTCCCATGCCTATCAAAAATTGGCTCGCCCAATTTTCACGCCAACTCATCTCTCCCGTAATAAAATTCTGCAGTGAAATGCTGAGAAAAATTGAAAAACTTTCAATACCTTTTGTGAAGCCGAAAACCAGACTTTTTGGGGAGCTTTAAAAAAGAGAACCGTGACATGAAAGTAGCGCAGAATATCAGAAATCTTGAATGAGGTACGGTAGTGGGCATCGTCCTTTTTATACAAACTTTTAATGCAGATGAAATCCGATTTCGTGAAGCGAGAAAAACACGGCCGGTTCTCTATTACGAGCCGGTACACCATTACCACAGACAATCTTTAATGAGTCCAAAAATGCTGTACGCCGGACTGTCGGGTCACGTCGGTTTGCGGAGAATGTCAGTAGGTAACGCTTCGTATAGTACACAATGTAATACACATGAAAAAATCATAAACCTAAATTTGGGTATTTTGGTATGAAATTCATAACTTCATCAGTTTTCTTAGTTTCAAGCTCTACAAAGTCTTTCCAAAATTGGATAATCTTGCTTCAGAGGTAGAATAGTTATGAAATGCAATAAAATAACGATAACAACAATATTGCCATCGCTATACAAAAGCGCCGATTACGATATCCGACACAACTTTTTTCTTTTTCAAACTCGGTGTTTAGGTGGTTTGTGTTATTTTTTTTTTGATGTTTTATTATATTCATTGAATTTTTCATACTAATAACGGAATTAGCTTGGCTAGTTTGTTTATCGTTGAGGACTATGCCACTTAAAACGATGAGGTCGTAAGGGTGGGAATGCGGAGCTCTTTTTCAGCTCGTCGACAACAAGGCAGGAATTTCTTAAAGAAGCCGCTGATCCGGATACGGTACGCCTACAAATATTTAACAGATTTTTCTATGGAATTTACCCTAAATAAAATCAACACCGAAATGGCGTCGGCCGGCGAGTAGCCGGCGATGAACATCGTGAAATAGAGTCCCATTTTCGGGTCCTTGATCACGTCTAAATTTAGAATTGCGTTTTCGACATACAATTTTGCTAAAAACGGTATTGGTGTCGAAAACCTACGTGAAAATCCTCCATACAACAAACAAAATGCTGGTAAAATCTCGAAAACGACGGGAGAAACGGCCTGAAAAGTTTCAATGGATTTCTTGGAGGCTTACGTCAAAGCTTAAGCCGGAGCTGAGTCTAAGCCTAGCCCAAGCCTAAGCTAAGTCGACGCCTAACCCAGGCCTACGCCTAGGCTTACCCACCTGGGCCCATAACACCGAGAGTAGCTGCATTTGAAGCCTTCGTTGCTTTCCAGTGATCACAGCCGATTTTACGTGGTAGTACCTGAAACACACAGCTGCTCAGTGGACTGCGCATTTTAATGAAACGTTTAATGAACTTCAAAACCTCACATTTTTACACCAGTATAACATAAAACTATATAGAAACCTCCAAACCAAACGATACACATTGAGGCCAAGTTCATGTGGGGCCAGTAGATGAACTCCTGGCCGGCGCTGTCGATTTGCTACAAAATACATATTTATGGTACAGAATCAAGTGGTAACATTGATGTTCTTGATCTTAAAATATAGCTAACCGAAAAGCTAGGCCCGAAATAGAAGACCGTCCCGTCGAGCGTCACGTTGAGGTAAGCTTTCAGGTACGATGCGCTGAAGACGTCCCGGAATTTGGTGGGCTGAAAAAAGTTAGATTGCTTTTTTTGTAAAAATACATCTAATTTAGTAGGATACTGTAATTGACGAAAAATTAGCAAGTTTTGAAATCGATGGAAGTTATGGCTTGGAAATTGGGATAGCGGGTTAGCTGGGCAGAATTTATTAATTTCGTTATGTTTAAATGTGTTATAAAGTCCACAAAAAATGCTTCAATGGTTTAAATCACTTACACACATTCCGAATAGGCAAAAGCACACATAAAGCATGGAACATATCACATGAACGCATGTCACCGAGATAATCCCTCGCGTAGTGTTGAATAGGTGCGTGTGGCGCCTGGAAATCATGGAAGCAGGTTCACGAAGGTTGAACTAATCACGCACTAATGGACGCAGTTAGTCGTACTAGGCGCACTTGGTGGTCAGGTTAAAACTCACCCCGTAATCACCGTATACCGATACATGCAATGCACCCCGATCAGGTTTGAGGATTGCGAGAACGAGTTCGCAAAGAAGGACAGCGCGATGAAATTCACAAGCCAGGAGCCGTGGTTGGCGAAATTCCGCGACACTACGATAAATCCATGACGGTCGAGGAGGTAGGCCTGGAAGAAGGTAAAGTTTGGTTGAGGCAAAAAAATGGGGCACTACTCACCGGCTCGACCACCATATGCACTATCGAGAAATAGAGATTGTAGAGAGTGACTATAGTCATCATCCTACGGTATCCTTTGGCTACTGTAGAGGCGTCAGTTTGGATGAGATATAGCAAAAACGAGTTCGAGGTCAGCCCGAGTACGGTAGTGAACGTGGTGACGATTTGGTGGATCGTAGTTGTGAGCATTTCTGAAGTTCTATATGAACGAGAGTCAGAGTGAAGATCAAGAGATAGAGAGCGAGAGAGAGAGAGAGAGAGAGAGAGAGAGAAAGAGAGAGAGAGAGAAAGCGAGAAAGAGTGCGAGAGAGAGTGATACGTATAGTGAGATTCCAGGTTATTACTAGTAGCTGGTATACCACCAGCATTAACCGCTAACCTTAAACCAACCATGTAGTCTCCAAAGTAAAATAATACAATGTCCCAATAATTCAACACCCTTTATATAGTGGAACCTTGTACCGGAACAGAATTTCGCAGGGCCATTACCGAAATTTTAGAATTTTCCCGATCGAGTCATGATTCCTCGTGAATCTGTTCCTAGATTGTGTTAGATACCTAAGACGCGATGAAGGTGTGAGAAAATTTGAAAAGCCCAGCTCCCTGTTTCCCAACGACTCCAGTAAACCAAGAATCCAATTTTTAAGACACCAAGAACTGCCGTACTGTAGCGCTAGGTAATGGTGGTTCTGGAAAGGGTACTTGCCCGTTTCCCTTTTATCTGCCGAAACCTGTTTCCACCCGAACGCTTCTGGTATTAAAAGAGCAGCGCATTAAGCTGTATTTTTGTCTGTTTTGCTGTACCCCACCCTTGTGGAACTCCTGTTAATGAGGGTGCTTGGTGTTCGGCGTCAAGCAACCGGAAAGATGTGGAAAATCTCGTGTACCGCGGGTTTCGCACCTTAATCAGGGCGTATGTCCTGCTCTCTCGCTCAATCTCTATCTCTCTCTCTCTCTCTCTCTCTCTCTCTCTCCCTCTCTCGTTTATTCTCGCTCTCGGGTTTTGTTACTTCGGTCCTCGGAACAGCTGCACTTGGTGTACCCGGCCAGGATGACGAATCCGGACCTCAAAAAGCTGTGGCGGGCAGCAGAGATCATTGAGGAACATTTCGCAAAGCTAGCAGAGATTATTGGATAAAGCCACGAGAAGCTGGCAGTAAGCCTTTGACTGCAGAAATGTGTTAAAGTTTTTCAAAAATTTCCAGGCAGTCTGAAACCCAGGTGCACACCTGGTGTGGTGGCCAACATACAGAAATTGTTTCAGACGTTTTTGATTTTGATTTTTGATTTGTTTTTGATACCCGGATCTAGCTTACTAGCTTACAAAACACGGGTTAAACTTTGGATGATAGAGGATTTGAAGGCTGATTGTCTATCTCGCTCTCTCTTTCTCTCTCTCTCTCTCTCTCTCTCTCTCTCTCTCTTTCTCTCTCTCCCTCGCTGTCGCTCTCACTTCTTCTCTCTCTCCTCTCCGGCTTAAATTTCCTGCCCCACGTGTATGACGCAGGTGCCCAAACGCGAAAAAAATCGAGGAGGGAAACGGTGAGAGAGCCTGGCTCTATATT